TCTAAAATATTACTTTTTAATTTTAAAACAATTGCCCCTCGCGTAAAATATTTGATAGGTTTTAAAACTTTTCAAAGTAAATAGGTAGGTAGGTAGTTATCTGTGTAGGTAGGAATGCGTATCTACAAGCGCTTGTAGAAAATAAATTAGGTCGGACAGATAAGAAATATGTTAGATCGGAAGTAGGTAGGTAGAAGAAATAAAAATGTACAATTAGGATCAAGGCTGTTATGCAGCCTTAATCCTAATTAATGAGGCTAGCTCTTACGAAAAAGAACTACTGCCGATTACATATAAATAAAGTCAGTAATATAAATATTACTGACAATCACATAAGAATATCATCAGATATTACAGGAATCACTGAGAATATTACTGGTACTTACACAGAATGCCAGTAATTTTTTCGTACCACTGCCGCAATATATTACTGCCAGTAGTTCTTTTTCGTAAGGGAGTAACGTTTAAGATATGTCAGATGTTTAAGATAGGTAGGTAGGATTATATATACTATGTATATTGTATAATATTGTATTATATTGTATGTTATATGTAATATATGTAAACTATTATATTGTATGTTATATGTAATATATGTATAAACTATTGTATTCTATTATAATGTATAAAAAATTGTAAAATGAAACTTGAAAATTGAAAACACACTGATAAAGAATTGTAATAGAGCAGAGTAATAGATATCCTTTTTGGAATTGCAACTTTTCAGACGTATATATTTGTGTACCGGCAAAACACCTTTGTGTAATATACATGTCTTTTTGTGTAATTTTTATTTATACGTATATATGTAGTTTTTGAGAAAATAAAATAAAATTTATAAAGCAAAAAGCAGCAAATGATAATGTAAAAGGAGATGATACACTCCACGAATTCTGATGCTGCTCGCTAAAATAATATTATTTTCTTCACTATCACATCTTTTCTTGTATATCACATTTATGTTGTGTGGAAAGTTGCAATGTTTTTTTTTATCCTTTTCTGTTCTCCTTTCGTATCTTCTCATCACGAGATCGGTCATTTTAAATTTCAAAAAAAATCAAATTCACGCTCTCGAATATACTCACACACTTAAAGAAAGTGACCATTTAAACTCGTGCACATAGCACAGAATAGAACCGCACGCTGTGGACATAGCGCACCGACATGTCGCTCGTGGACTGGCTGCGTAGTTCCAATGTGCACCACCCGTGGACATGCGCTAGTTTACGGAACGGAAAAGTGATTACACATTTTCTTGTGGTTATGACCGCTCTCACGCTTCTTTCTGCTCTGACTGTACATACACGTGCCGAAGTAGTCACATCAAGTCGTAAATTTTGCATTTTCTACTAAAATGCGTATAGAAACGTGTTACTTTTGTTCGTCCCGGATTTATCCGGGACATGGAATACAGTTCGTACGAAACGATTGCAAGGTGAGAAAAAATGTAGTTGATCTAATTTACAAGCAGTATATTTTTATAATATCTGTTGAGTGTCTAATATTAATTTATAGTATTTAAACTGAGGTTATATATACGTACATTACAGATCTAAGAATTTGTCTCTCACTCTTCAACTTTTCTCTTCTCAAGTAGATCTTAGAATTGTATACAATTAATTCACTTTTTTTTTTAATGCAAAGCTACATATATTTTGGCATTTTGTACATGATGTTACAGATATTCAAGTTTTGTCGCTCAAAGTGTCACGCCGCGTTCAAAAAGAAGAAGAATCCCAGGAAAGTCAAATGGACCAAAGCCTACAGAAAGACTGTTGGCAAAGAATTGGCGGTGGATCCATCATTTGAGTTTGAAAGACAGAGAAACATACCTGTTAAATACAATAGGGAATTATGGAATAAAACTGTGGAGGCTATAAAGAAAATAGAAACTATCAAGCAGAAACGTCAGAATCTGCACATTATGCAAAGGTTACGTAAAGGAAAAGTACTGGAGCAAGAGAAGGATATTAAGGAAGTGCAACGTGATATATCTCTCATTCGTTCGCCAGCTGCTGGCCTCAAAGAGAGGAAGAAATTGGAGGAACAGGAGCAGAAGGAGATGGAATTAGAAGTAGAAGAAGAAGTAGATTGCAATACAAGCTCAACAAATGCCAAGAAGGTTAAATTTCGTGAGGAAGTCATGGAGGTTAATTAAATTATTCTGTGCATTTTATCTCATTCTTTGTTTCAATGCATACCATCACAAAATTAGTTTTACTGTGTATAATATACATTATTTCATGCTATTCAATTTTATATATATATTGCAAAAAAACATGAAGTATTATAGTTCAATCTTATTCAGAAGCTAAGTGTAAACCTAAAATCTATTAAACAGTTTCATTGTTTAACTTTTATATTATATATATGTATATATTCCTATATTCTTATTAATATATATATATATATATATATATATATTTTTTTTTTTTTTCAATATATATTTAAATATTGAAACATGGAAAATTATCTGTTTAATAATACGTTTGTTTTATAAATAAATTTGTATAGTTTTATTTTCTGATGATGTATATGTAAGATCAAAAGTGCCAAGAAATTCTCAAAGATGGAGCCACTGGGTGTTATTTGTATGCAGACTGAAATTCACCTCGTTTAATATACAAGCGCTTTCTTCTTTATGTACGATGTCTAGATATGGCTCCATTATATCGACGTTCATGCATTTCGCAAAGAACTTACTCGCGCACAATATCCTCGTCAACGCAATAAAGGACAAATAACGGTCTTTCATTATATTACAATTGCATAAGTGAAGAAACGCATTCACCATGCGCGTTACAAGAAAATTCAATTCTCGTTCGCACTGTGCGCGAATTATGCAACTTTTTTCCGAGTTCCTGGTACGTAATTAGCGATGATACATGTCTAATTCCGTGAATTATCATCTATTCTACCCAAAATAAATTGAACAATACGTAAGATCTATTACCAGATCGTCCAATTTTGTTATATGCAAAGTCATTGCATAAATATTCTCGGTTTATTTATAAATATTGTCGTTCATTAACTTGTGTTATTCTGCATAGACGTCACATGATTTTTGCATACGTTGGATAAACGTTCGTAGTCTATTTACAATAATGACTGTGTCATTCACTTATTTTGCATAGACGTCATATGTTTGCGTGCGTTTGACGCATAAACATTTACAGTATAATCAAACGCGCGTAAATTGTAGTATATATTTTTTTTTATTAACAACAAAGACTTTATTGCGTAAAACACTTATATAATAATCAAAATAAGAGTGGTTTTTTTCTCAAATTTGCTAAGGTAAATACAAATCGATAAAAATAAGCAAATACGAGCCGAGCGCAGATTATCGTGCAAAATGAATATTCAAAACAAAATATCGAGTACGTTTCAACTTTATTTTTGGATCATCTTCAGCTGGCATACTATTAAATTAAATAATATTTCCATACACTAGACATTCAGTATTTTAGCTCGTATTAACTTCATTTTCTATTATTTGACATTTTCACTTATTAAATATATTAAAAATCATCTAAAACGTTGAGTTTTGGATAAAATAATTTATGGACAAAACATTCGTAAACATATAATCCATACAAGCTTGATCAGGCTTCTAAGTTTCTCCTACTCGAAGAGACTACATACACTTGATGCCGCGGACGTCATTCCTTTGTGACAAGACGCGAGATTTCGTGGGGTCCGAGGTGTGACCGCGCCTCGATGACATTGTAAACATTCGCAAGGTGTTTCCAGCAATTACCAAGCAAACTGTGTGACGGGATGTTTGTCCGCGAGTAAAAATGCCCTGCGCACCGACAACGACGACGACGACGACGACGACGGGACGACACACTTGTGTTACGCGAACAAAAAAATATTTTCATTGGCGTGAGCTTGCAGATTTTTCGAAGAGGAAAAGACGCGCCGATTCTCTTCGACCAATCGATCTTTGAACCTCGCCGACGACCGACACACATCGGCTCTTTTCGGACAAAATAACCACCTGTTAACGCGACGCCGATTGGTTTCGAATCGACAGAACGGCAAACATATACAAGTGTTTTTCTTCTTGCGTTAAAAATGTACTATATATATACCGGTAAGAAATTTACATTGCACAAAATATTTTACACACAAAGAACGATGTGTAATCACGTGTTTCTTTTATAAATGGAGTAAAAATTTTAACTATACAAGATAATTGAAGATCGAAAACTTGATTGATAATGAAATCACCAATTTTTCGGAACGCGCAGTGTTTCGGGAACTACCGAATATCTCGAAACTTCTTCCAAATTCGCGAGCGAGAAAAAACTCTGCTTTTCGGCCACACGAGGAGAAGAAGGTGTGCCGTTGTTTGTAAAGAAAACAAACAATCACGACGACCGGAATACATGATACGCGTGAATCGCAACACAACGACTTGTGTGAGTGTGCGGGCCACGAAGCGAAAAGCTGTACGTACTACATATATTGTTGCATTTGTTATTGCAGCTTCTACTCAAGTCGGAAACTACTTCGGTCGGCTGATCAATGGCTCTCTTCGCGAATAATACTCGTGTCGGACACGAGAACGATAAAGTCGTTCCTCGTGTCGAAACTAACAATGCCTTACAAGAATATGATGGTTGTATATATTATGCGAGACGTAAAGGGGTACTCTCGACTCTCGAAGGAAGAACTCACACATCCTGGTTTATTAGCGATGCAATATTATCTCTCTTCTCTCATTATTATATTTTTAACTGCTGTTCTCCGCGGTGACAAAACTCACGTCTAACAGATGTCCCAATTTTTTTAGCGTAATTTTTTTACTATTAAAGCACAATTTTTCAGAACGAGTAAATACGTAAATTGTTCGTATTTTCAAATTTATTATCTAATTTATACATTTTGTATATACTGTTGTTGCTATCAACATTTTAATTTAATTTAGTTTTTCATTTTTTGTTGATCACTGAAGAAGATTCTAAAGAAAAAGTCAGATATAATTAATAAATAAACTTGTGAAAATGCATACGCGAACAATTTGTATATTGACTCGAATCTCGAAATCGAAACATTTCACGAGCTTATTTATTTTTCTACCTCGTTTTTGCGATTCGAATTTTTATTTACTGTTAGTACGCGTCAGCATTTAAATAGCGGTCGATCAATGCGCACCTCTTATCGTCTATTTGACGACTCTCTTTTCGTCGACGCGCGTCACCCACGTATCTTCGGACAGAAAGAGGTTGAAGACGCGTTGACAAAACCGACATTATCGATCTCCCACCGATGTTTATTTAATCATCGCCGTATATATCGCGGGAAGGTTCTTGTAATAACATCGTCCGCTGAGGTCACTAGTGCAGCATAAATAAATAAGACGACACTCGCGGGATAGTTTGTCCGGGTTTTCTCTGAGAGAGAGAGAGAGAGAGAGAAAGAGAGAGAAACAGAAAATCCGGCATTTGGTCAGACAATATTATTTCACCGACGCGGTTACGCGAGAAATGCCTTCAGATCTCGCCGATCTAAAGTCCGTAATTGCACCTCTGTCGCGTTCATACCGAGATTAATTAACGCTCGACGCAATGTGCAATTTTATACACGGGGAAAAAAGTTTGCTGATAATTTATTACAGAACGCTCTGGCCGTCGTATTTGTACACAAAACATATCCGCCGTTTAAATCTGGTGTGAATCGCGGATGCTTTTCCAGCAAGTGCGCAACATCATTACTAAATAGTTCGGGACTCATTAATCTTCGTGTGTTTTCCTATTAAACGCGAGTGCGGCTTTATTTCCTCGAGCGCGGGGTCGCGCGGAAAGCTGTAACGGTCCGAGCTCGTAAAACATCTGCGGCTAAAAGGCACTACAGAGTCGCTTCGGCCGTCAGACGGCGAGGCGCGTTTAATTAAATTTCGATGTCGCGTCTTATCACAGGTTTGGGACTCGGAAATGGAATGAATCTACGGTACGTTTCGATAACAGCCTTTCGCTGTCCTTCTCTCGCGTCGTTGTCTCATTTGTTTCTTTCTACGCGTGTTACAGAGAAACGATGAAAACACAGCTCTAAACACATCGTGAAACTCGAGAAGTAATTATGTACAAGATAATTTTGAAATATCGTTTTATTCGCTTCACTAATGTTTCTTTGAAATTGAACTTTCATCATTTCGTAATTTTTATCTTGCACCAAGATTTTGAGCAATCGGTGCGTTTTTTTATCTCTCGTTTACCACTTATCTTTTCGAGAGAGAGCGCGCTGAACGATTTTTTCGGACTCTTTCCCAAAGTTCGAGATAAATTGCCGAGATTTGATCGAGATTAAGAATCAATTCGATCTTTACGACGATATACGATCGTGATTTGCGACAAGGGGCAGTGACGCTATTTGTCTCGGCCAAAAAAGCGGCTCATTCATTTCTCTTAATTTGAGAATCCGGACGAACGCGCACGAACATCCACCTACTTCGGGATCACTCGGTCCGATCGACCAGAAGATAAGCGATGCGATCACTCGCGGCCACTCACCGATAACGAGGAAGAGGAGGTACATCGTTTCCGAAAGCAGGCATGCCTAATGCTGCTCGACGGAGAGAAGACGCTGTTTACCGGAGACAGGTGAATGTTTGACATTCCTGTCGCGGTCTCTGTTGGATGAAGCTTCTGGTTACTAGACAGCGTAGGGGCGATCAAGCACGTTCTAGTAGTTGGGGCGCGATTTAGTTAACAGAGAGCCGTAAAAAAAAATAATACGTCTTATCGAATATTTTTTTCTTAAGTGTCACAAATATATACGTATATATATATATATAAGAGAAACAACACACATAAATATATATATATATATATATATATATATATATATATATATATGCAATACATATACAAATATTTTTTGTATCGTTAAAATTTTATTTTGGTTACTTCTCTCTTACAAGCAGAGTTCATATATAGTCTTCTTTCATGTGTTGTCGTGAAAAACTATATTTATAAATATAGTTGATAAACAAAAAAAAAATATATATATATACTAACTATATATATTGCCCGTGTATTGCAAGTGACCGGAATAAAAGGCGTGTTCTAGTGCGCGTGCGTGTTCTCATTCCGCGTGTTCCCTGCGCGCATCTGAAACCAACAACACACATTGGTGCCCTTAACGCGGCATTGCACCGAACGTTTAAAC